TTAAATAAATTTTGATAGATAAGCAACGAACCATAATATTTTCTACACAGTATATTAGTTACATTGAAATTAAATACGTCCGCATGCGTATTAATTACTTCTTTTCGTATACTCGATCGAAATACATTATCCGACAGGAGAGCACTCTTTAGGCTCCAGAGGAAAGAAAAGTTGTTGTAATGGCTGCCGTGTCATGAAATGAAGGTACCGAGCCAGTTTTGTGGTTCCACGATGGAGGAGAACTCCAGTTCTGCATCTCAAAATCATAATGGACAATTATCTAGTGGTGCAAATGTTCCACTGACAAATAATAAACATCAAGGGAATGACAATGGTACTAATGGCGATGCTAAGAACGAAAGGCCACAATACTCTATGCCTGGTATTCTACATTTTATTCAGCATGAATGGACTCGCTTTGAACTTGAAAGATCGCAATGGGAGCTTGATAAAGCAGAATTTCAGGTATAATCCTAATTTCTTTGGAAAATTTTCAAAATTTCTCTGTATACTTTTCTTTAAAATACTCTTTTCTTATTGTCACTTCATCTGTCATGTGACAGAACGTTGTAAAAACAAGATTAACTTAAATATGTATAACATTAACACAATACAATTTGTGTATATATTTAATTTTAAAGTTATTTTAATTTAAACTAAGAAATATTTTATAAGAATATCCTTTTTATTTATTGTAACATTATGCTTTAAATTTTAATGTAACAAATGATACACATGCCACTGAAGTACGAAATTGTTGTATTTAAATAGTTATATCCCTTATATTGGAGTGAATGTAGTATTTACATTATTTTTAGTTGCATGTATATTATATTTATGTTATATTCTTATAAAAGTTACTGAAGTTATTAATACTCTATATTTTTTATATTTTTTTGTAAATTCTTTATAATATAAAATGGATAATTCTAAAGGAAGGCTACATTGCAATATTCATAATATATATAAAATATGAAATAATTACATTAGAGGCACAACTAATTCTTTAAGAATGATTTAAAGAAATATAATATGTTTATTATTATTTTCCTGCAGGCTAGGATAGCTTTTTTACAAGGTGAGAGAAAAGGCCAAGAAAGGTTAAAGAATGACTTAGTAAGAAGAATAAAAATGTTAGAATATGCACTTAAACAAGAACGGTGAGATATTTTTTTTTAATTTCGACGTTAGGAATATATTTGCAATACTTTCATAATTTTTATAGAGCGAGGTATCACAAACTAAAATATGGCACTGACTTAGTAATACAAGGAGATACAAAACCTCCTATTTATGAAGAAGGTATTTGTAATTGTCCTAATTCTGATGTCGGAGGTGGTGGTGATGGGGAAGCTCCATTCACATCCGTCAGTAACATTAGTTGGAGACAAGGCCGCCAAATTTTAAGACAGTAAATAAGATATAACTTTTATAATTTTTATAATTATTATTTGCATATAACAATAGGTATTAAGTACAGTATCATTAATAGTGTATATATAACTGTAACTTTAGATACTTACAAGAGATTGGTTACACTGATACTATAATAGATGTACGATCTAGCAGAGTGAGATCTCTACTTGGTTTAAGTAATAATACAGACTCAGAAGATATGAATACTCCTGCATTAAATGGCAATGAACCATCAAACAAACAAGCATCAGAAAACAGTGTTCGTAGAGTCCCAGGAAAAAAGGTAGAGGTAAGTAACTTTGTTGGAATTTAATCACTTTGTTTTTTATTCAACTGTTATATGTTTATGATATCTATCAAATTTCTACAGTAACATATTAATACTTATATATTTTTATATTACTAGCAACCATCTTCTGTAATAGAAGCAATGATATTTGATACAGAAGCAGCTGTGATGGCAAACTTTGAGTTTTTGGCACAAACAGGTATGGATATGGAAGAAGAAGAAGGGGATGTAGAAGATGATACTTATGATACTAATATGGATCCTAAACCAAATAAAGTAATACATATATATGGTCCTATTATATATATTGTTATAGAATTCTATTGAAGTAATATAATTAATACATTATTTCTATTTTAACTTTTAGCCATCTATGCTTTTAACAGAAGATGTTGATGCAGAAGCTGAAGAAGTATTAAATGAATTAAATCTTCTCACAGAAATTGAAGAATCACCACAACGTTCTATTCGCTATTCATCTGAATGGGGTTAGTATTCATTTTACTTATAATTTTATCGACAAATTCCTATTTTATTGATATTTTAGTAATATTAAAATAAAATTTACAGATGCAATACGTAGGGGTGGACATCCAGATCAAAAACGTCTAAATGAGGAAGGTGATTCGACATTAGAATTGGGTGAATTAGAGCAATTATGTGTAAACAATGAAGCAGAAACTTCATATGATGTGAGTTACATTGGTTATATTATTGTTATTTTTAATGCTCATAGATGCATGTAATATATGTATATTTATGTTATGTTAATATATGTATAATTCTTATATTTTTATAAAATTTATGTGAAAGCTTAATTTCATTTTTAGTATAGGATATATTTAAATTAATTATATTTTATATATAGATGGTAGCCACTACAAAGGAAAGTTTAAGAAAAACATGGAATGCAAAATATACATTGCGATCCCACTTTGATGCTGTTCGAGCTCTTGTCTTCCATCCCACTGATCCCGTTCTTATAACTGCAAGTGATGATCATACACTTAAATTATGGAACCTCCACAAAACCTTACCAGCTAAAAAGTAGGTTACCTGTATTCTGAAATTACGAACTATTATAAGGACTATTGAAAAATGTTCATTCTCCCATTTCAGGTCAGCTTCATTAGATGTAGAGCCATTATATACATTCAGATCACATACAGGTCCTGTATTATGTTTAGCTATGTGTAGCACAGGCAATCAATGCTACAGTGGTGGTTTAGATGGTATGATTCACTGTTGGACACTTCCATCAGCCAATATAGATCCATATGATTCTTACGAACCAAGTGTCCTTAGTCAAACATTAAAAGGACATACAAATGCAGTTTGGGGTTTAAGCATGTATCAACTGCGATCACAATTATTGTCAATCAGTGCTGATGGAACTGTAAAACTATGGAGCCCACAAAGCAAATCACCATTACTTCATACATATGTTTCTGAACAAGGTATATTTTTTAGACATAGATTATTAAAAATATGTTTTATATAGTCGCATCTAGAATTATCCTTTTCTTCTTATCATTTTTACAGATGGCATACCAACATCGGTAGACTTCATTAGAGATGAATCAAATAAATTAGTTGTAGCCTATGACAGAGCTTGTGTGGTATTTGATACAGAAACTGGTGAAAGTGTAGCTCGTCTTGAGGCCAATGAAACGAAGGGAGTAAATCGCGTCGTAGCGCATCCTACATTACCACTTGTTGTAGCGGCACATGAAGACCGACATATTCGATTTTATGATCACCGATCAGCCACCCTTGCTCATTCCATGGTTGCTCATTTGGATGCAGTTACTAGTCTCGCGGTAGATCCTCATGGTTTATACTTACTTTCAGGAAGTAAGTAATAGCAAATTAAATAAAATGAAATGTCAATATATTAAGAATTATTAAATAACTAATTTCTCACTTTTAGGCCATGATTGCAGTATAAGATTATGGAATATGGATAATAAGACTTGTGTTCAAGAAATAACAGCACATCGTAAAAAGTTTGACGAAAGTATTTTAGATGTAGCATTTCATCCTTCACGACCTTTTATAGCAAGTGCAGGGGCTGATGCTCTTGCTAAGGTGTATGTGTGAAATGTAAATTAAGATACACATTTCTACTATCAACATACATCAGGTGGAACAGATTTTGTACTCATTCTTTCTAGATAGTTTTACCTATACGTGTTACACTTCCAATTTTGTTGTAACTTATATTGCTCTACCATTTGAAGTACCACTTTAGGAAATCAAATTGGGCGTATAGATATCCATGTTATAAAACCAAAATTTGCACATAACCCTTGTCCGCAACAATTTATCAAAACAGTGATTTCAAATATAAATGCTGCTTATTGATGAAATTTTCACTAAGTAGCAATATTAATTGGGATAGCGGAAGGGGTCTGTCTTGTAGCATATTAGTTGATATAGTTCTGATAATTAGATCATGAAATACCCCTTACCCAAGATCCAGGAAGCACACTGCCGCAGTAGCATAATATTTATCCCTATGTTAACTATTTATTACCAATATTACAGTTACTGTTGCACAGCTACTGGAGATTAAGACATACTACGCGAAAATAAAGTTGTCCTACATCAATTAGTCTCCCATTATATGATTTTTATGCTACCTTATGTATTTATCGAGGTTGGCATATAATAACAACAAAAAAGCAACAACAACAATAATAATAATAATAATCGTAATAAGTTAATTATAACGTAAGAGACATAATATTAATAACAGTAAATTATAACTGTGTGTTTCTCTGTAATATATTGTATTTAAAAATAGATGAACTGTGTAACGTACTATAATGAACATGTTTTTATTAAAATTTTACTCCACTTCTATTATTTTTTTTCCTTCAACAAATTTATATATATATATTATATATTTATATATTATATATATATTATATATATGTATTATATATATATTATATATATATTGTAAAAGATAAAATCAAAACGTCGAAATAAAAATACAATTTTTTATTTAACAAATGGAGATAAAAAATGTAGTTTATACTTCTTAATATGTATAAATCTATATGTAATGTATCATGTAATAAGATTTAATAATAAAATAATCTTCATTATTTATATTATGTTGACAATATATATGAAGTACAAGAACGTTTTACGCTGTACTATTATATTTATATCTGTATAATTTGTTTTAAGTGAAGCTTTTTTAAATTAATAGCAGCTAGTACTGATTTGACTTGCGCGCGTGTGTGTATGTGTGTAACGCCCTTTGACTGTCCAATCAAAACGAAGCATATATTATCATTCAGGTTAAAGAATATCTATAAATTATTATCACGTTGATCAGCTGAGAGAACATTCTAAGTGTAGTTGTAATTAGTTACATATCGTAGCTGAAATTATAAATTTAGAAAATACAACTATTATAAAGAAAATATATCGAAGTAAAATATATGTCTTTCAATGATTTTGTATGTACTCATATTTTGGAAGATATTATATTTGTTAGACAAATTAGAGTTCAGATCCTACTAATAACAATATTTCATATATTTTGGTAAATTACATGATATCTTACTTGTGTCAAAAAGTGGGTGATATTTATTTATGTTACTAAAACGTTTATAAGATGTGAACTGAATCCTGTTAAATATTCGTATAGGTTATGTGATTATGTTGTTTAAAGTATATCCAAATTTCTTGTCTATAAATATTAAAGAGTGATATGGTTGTTGCGCTTTATAAGCGCTAGTACTATTTTAAAAATTAAAAATGGAGCGAAATGGGGCGAGGGAAATGGAAGAACGAATGTGTATAAGAGATACTGGGAAGACACTGAAAAAATATGGTAGTACAGCTAAACATATTACACGAAATGAAAATTTATTAAAACATACTGTATCAACAACTGATACCCTTCAAGGAATTGCTTTAAAATATGGAGTTACAGTATGTATCCTTTATCTTATTTCATTATTGTATAACTGACAAGGAGCAATTAAAAATATATAGTACATTTCATGTATTTTTATTTTTTTTAGACTGAACAGATAAGAAGAGCTAACAGATTATGGGCTTCTGATAGTTTATTTTTACGGGAACATTTGTTTATTCCTGTCAATCCAGAAAGTCCATTGTCATTGGACAATACTGACGAAATTGAACACAATATAGTTCAAAATGTATATACCTTCTTATATTACTAGTAAGATATTATTTAATATTGCATAAGATAAAATATATTTTTAGGTTTCTAGTCCATCTTCAATAACATTATCTATGGATGATGATAGTTCAGTTAATGACTTTTTAGCTAAAATGGATTCTTCTATAGCCAGTGCTAAAAGAGATGTTAAACGTACTCAGGGGAACAGTGAGTAAGTCATTTACTAATATTTAATGAATAACATTAATTGTACATTTACAATTTATACCACAAAAAATTTCGTATATAAATTTATTAATGAATTACATTTCAGATTTTGCACTGAGGATAGTGATATCTATGTACAATCACATAGAGCATCTTCTAAATTACGTAACTCGCTTCCTATAACTTCAAATACACATACAATACCACCTGCTTCAGAACCATTAAGACCATCATCTTCTAGTGATATGCATAATTTTCCAACTGCTGTAGTTATGACTCAGGGCAGGAAAGTAAAAACATCATTACAAAGACTTCAGCAGCAACAAGATGAAATATTCCAGTTGTAGCAACTAAATTTGATTAGACTGTAATATGTTTAATATTGACAATGTCATTAAAGAGCTTGAACAAAAGATATATTGAATACCAAACGATGTACTGGAAATAGTAGAAGACTATTGCATATTTAAAATTGGTTGATCCAATATTAATGTAAGTTGTATTCATTTCTTTTTTCATAAATTTTTTATGATATTTTTATCATATATTATAAATATTAGAAACATTTATAAAAGATAATTGATCGTTTCTATTCTTGTAGTCTGAGTACGATCAACAATGGATCAACTAGCTCTCGTATTGTCCAAGCATATTTTTAAAATAGTTCAAACGATATTTCTTAGTGAACCATATGTGCCTTTAATCCAAGTCGATTGTGTACTATTTTTGTTATTTTTATAAAACATCTTATGTTTTATATATGACGTTAAGTTTATGATTTCCCAGAGGTCAATTTATCCAATTTTATTGCGAATGATAACATGTATTCCTAGATTTTTTATAATTTTGCTGGGCATAGAATTTTATTCGATTATGTCTTTTTTGTGACCTCAATTATATAACAAAAGTATGAGGGCAGATTGAAAAGTTTTTGGAGTGACAATAACAATAACAAATGAAGCAATTCCCAGCAACGATTCTGAAAACTTTTCGATCTCACCTTGGAACTCTTACAGAAATTATAATTTAAAATATTAATATAATTAAATATTATACTCTCTTACAGTACAAGTCCACTTTCTAAATTATTGTTTGATCTTCCTTAAAACGTTGTCGATATTATTTATTTAATCTATTTTGTTTTTAAAAACATTAAATACAAAATTATATAAATAAATACAGCTTGGATAACAAAGAGTTCGTTTGTGTAGAAAATATTCTAATTATTATTTTAGGGACAAATAATACGAAATATTATTAAAATTAATATGAATGCTCAATCTTTAGTTACAATTACATAATAAATGATATTTATAATTCGGTGATATTTATAATCAGCAATCTTCATTACAAAATTTAATAAATCCAAGAACTATCGTCGTTTGAGAATAGTTTATATATAATGCACAAATGACTTTAGTATGAATTATATTGAAATATTAATAAACTGGTTTCATTAAATTTAAAAGATAAATTTTTGCTTCTGAAATTATCATTAAAATTTTTAAATAAATGTTAATGATATAAAAATAATTATTCCATTTACGAAAGCTAATAAATATAAAATTTATATTGATTAAGTTAATATAGATCATTTGTAATTATTTTTGGAGTTATATAAATTTATTGTTGATGCCATTAATAAAGATTTTACAGAAGAAAATACAGTACCTGTTAATATTGTCTATATTGTGTAGTTAACATTTTGTTCATTGTTATATAATAACATTATCTATCCAAATATACATTATATGTTATTATTGTTATATTATTTATACATATTAATGTATTATATACTATGTAAGAGCAACTATAAATTGGTATAGCAAAAGAATCGAAGTTCAATGAACAAGCG